CGGAGAAACACAAGGTCTACCGGATCGGCGTTGCAAGGATCGAGGACGGTGAAGGGCTGCGCGATCCGCATGATGCACCCTGTTTGGAAGATAGGATCCCCACCCCAGATGTTGCATTTACGGACAACAATCACTCGGAAGATGGGTCAGAATCTTCAAGTGATTCGGACAAGGACTATGACGACGGTGAATCAAGCCATGATCAACACACTGTAATCTCCTCGGATGAGGAAATTGCCGACCAAGAGCATCATGTTTCCGAAGCGGCACACGAGTCACAAGATGAGGTCGAAGACGCCGATGATGAAGACGATACCGACAACGGAGACTTGGGACTAAACAATGTGTCCAAGTATTTCAATCAATCCAAGCACGCCGGCATGGCCAAACGCAAGTTTCCCGATGATCCTATAGTAGCGCCAAGGAAAAGCCGCCGAGCTACTCACGGACAACGTGACATCAATTTAGAGCACTCGGACTCAGATTTGTCGGACTTAAACGACGATTCTTGGTATCACTCAGAAGACGGGAAGGTTTCACAGGCTTATTGGCAGTTCGTCGCAAAACGTGGCGGTGGCCACATGAAGAACTTTTTGCCTGATGATGATAAATGCGACCGTTGTTTCCGAACCGGGAGAAGGTGCGACTCTGCCGAGAATGGAATGCCTTGTTCGATCTGCAGGAAAGACAACCAAGGCTGCAGGTCACAGTCGAAGGAAACAAAACGCCTAATACTTCCTGAGAACCGCCACAGGCGTAAAGAGATTGGAAGGGTACAACAGGACCAGCCATGCAGAAGATGCTTCCAGACGAACCGTACTTGTTTTCTCATTGACCCAAGCAATCCAAAATGCGAAGCATGTCAAAAAGCCAATCTCAATTGCAATTGGAACCTGGATGGGGTCAAAAGGTCAACAGCACGGCAGAAGAAAAGACAGGCGGAAAAGGAGGAAAGGCATAAAAAGCTCGGATTCGTACCAGTTCCTCGCGATCAGAAATGCTACCGGTGCGCAGCAAAGATAATGACATGCGATGGGAAGATTCCGTGCAACAAGTGCAACACCCTTCTTCAACGCTTAGCATGTCGGCCGCAAGGTGTGGATGATTTACCTCCTTGTGATCAGTGCAGAAATGGAACCAGGAGTGGAAAAAACTGTGACCGCGGACGACCTTGTAAGGCATGTATCCATGGAAGGACAACGTGCAGCTACGAAGTCCAGGATGGTCTGTTAACCAGAATCTATCGCGTACCTGATTCTCCGCTTCCAACTGGTTTCTCCTCAGTGGGCCCTCTTCAGGAAGGAGATCTGTCTGATGAGGAGTGCGTGCGCTGCCAAAGAAGGAAATTGAACTGCGATGGGGAACAACCCTGTTACCCATGTATCAAAGCGCAAAGCAACAGCAACGTTGCTAGTTGCAACTATCGACGATCTGATGGCACATACGAGTCGTGGGCAACTCGACCATTCGAAGCGAAAGCCTTGAGCGAGCCGAACCTGCGGGAGGATTACCAGAGCTACACTGGTCGGAGGAAGCTTAAAGTCTCCAATGAGCTGAGATCTTTGAGAGATGCATTGTATACCAAAGCCCCAGAGAAGAAAAGAACTGATCAATCTATTGTGGAAGAGACGATCGACTCTGACCCACATGACGACGAGAACCATGGCCGACACGCGGCGGCCAAGAATAACTACAAGGGCTTCAAATTCAGTCTATCGGCGTACAATGAACTTCCGCAACCAGCTCTCCAACTGAAGAACAATGGCACTGCTAATGGAAAATACCTTGAAGCAAAGGTGGAAGAATTAAATTCCCACAAAGAAAAAGGCACGTGGAAGGTCGTTCCACTCCAAGGAGGGATCAAACCGGTTACTTCACGATGGGTCACTACCGACAAGTATGGACCGGACGGCGAAGTCGCCAGGCGCAAAGCTCGCCTAGTAGCAAGGGGCTTCCAACAGGAAGAAGGCATAGACTATGAAGAGACGTTCGCGTCCGTGGTCAAGTCGGCTTCGACCCGCATCTTGCTCGCGTTGGCGGCGATTTGCCATTGGCATGTCCACCAAGGGGATGTGAAGACGGCGTTCCTGAACAGTGATTTAGACAAGCCGGTCTACATGAAAGCCCCGGCGGATGTACAGTTACCTCGTGGGCATTGCTTACTTCTTATCAAGGCCCTTTACGGATTGAAGCAGTCTCCTCGCGCGTGGTATCAAAAGCTCCGGGACACTCTTGTTGGTTGGGGCTGGCGTATGTCAGCCTACGACCCATGTGTGTTTATCAACGACAGAACCAGACTCATACTCGAAGTACACGTGGACGACATAAACGTGATGGGTAGAGGCCTTCAGGCAATCCTTGATTTCAAGGGTCAACTTTCGAAGGAATTTCCAATATCCGACGAGGGGGAGTGCTCCTGGTATCTAGGAATGCACATAGAGCAGAAGCCTGGAGAGATTCATCTCCATCAGAAACAATATATCGACCAAATGGTCAACAAGTATGGCTTCAAAGATGCCGCGCCTGCCAAGACTCCCCTGGACACGAAGATCAAGCTAGCGAAACAGGGCGACTACGTTGCCAACACCAAATTCCGCAAAGAATATCAGTCGAAGGTCGGGTCGCTCAATTTTAGCAGCAATCAGACAAGACCGGACATTGCTTTTGCTACCGGATATGTAGCTCGATACGCATCCAACCCAAACCGGGCTCATATGGATGCTGTGGATCGCATTTTTGCATATTTGAAGAGCGACGCGAGGAAGGGAATTGTCTATTCAGACAAACACGGTCTCCAGCTGAGGGGTTTCGTCGACAGCGACTTTGCTGGATGTGAGGACTCACGCAAGTCAACAACTGGATGGGTGTTCACGCTTGCTGGAGGGCCCATATCGTGGTCATCCCAGAGACAAAAAACAGTGGCTACATCAACCATGGATGCAGAGTACATTGCATGCGCCGAGGCTGCGAAGGAAGCTATGTGGATTCGCAACTTTATCAATGACCTCCGCATCCCTGGAGTATATATTGACACAGTTCCCCTTTATATCGACAATAACGCAGCCTTGAAGCTCACCAGGAATCCAGAGTTTCACAGCAGAGCCAAACACATTGACGTCAAGCACAACTTCATTCGGGAGAAGGTGGAGGAAGGTCTTATTGATACCCAGCGCGTCAATACAAAGGATAACTTAGCAGATGTTTTCACCAAAGCTTTACCGAGGCCTACACACGAAGACCTTGTGGAACGTCTGAATCTCCATTCAGGGGGAGGTTTTGAGTCTGCAATTTCGTTCAAAGAAAGATCAGACACTGCCAGATCAAATTCTGGGATCCTTGAGGTGCCTCGGCCCCTTCGGGTCCTTGGCACAGGGGGAGAGTTGGATCCCAGGTCACGTGATGTATATAGATCTATAGGAGTGGCTGCCTGTTAGGCAGACACTCCGCTAGGCAGCAGGGAGATGAGCTGCTGCAACTACAAATAGCTGGATCTCCTCATATGGATGAATAACATCACACTTGTACCTTAATCCAGGGTTCAACTTTGCGAGGGGTCAGTGTAAATGAAACTACTACTACTACTACTGTAGAATCACGGAGATGTCACGAACCCGAACTTCCCATGTTACCGTTATTTACACTGCCTTTGCACCGCAGAGCCCCTGGCCATCTGGCAATTTGATAGGAAGAACTCGTAAAGTTGTGACCTGAGATCAGATTTTCTTTGCATTGTGAAGCAGTCTCCTGCTACTACAACACATTATCCAAGTTACATACAATTTTCTGGAGCTAGGAAATTTCTGGGCAGCTCAAATCTTGCTACAGTCGGCTTTTGAAGCTTCCATGAACCCCAAGGATGATGATTATTTACGCAGAGCAGGTCGTCAGCCATCACCTGCTTGCTCCATCAAGCCACCCAGCATACTGCTCCAATTATGGCCACGGTCGGTTGGCTAGTCAGATCAAGCGATTGACATGCAGATTACTGTATGTCAGCAACTCTGCAGTAAATTGCGTTCCTTTGCATGACTCTATCCATCGCACTTCTTTCATCTGTTTTGACTCCACCTCCCTCCTCATTCTTCAAAATCATTATCAGGTACGATTGATTTTGTTCGATATCCGCTCTGACTTGTTCTTTATAGCCCTACTCTAGGAGGCAATTGGAATCGCCCCTTTGACTGCTTTGTAGTTCGGTGCGCGTACTATGGTGACCACGTAAGCCACATCCGGCAAGATGCACGAGAAACATAATAGCCCCTAGAACTCCGAAAGCGGACTGGCTGACGGCTCCGTAATATATAATCTTGTAGTATGAAAAATGGACCCTCACTGTCAAAAAGAGTCGAAGGATGTCTGAAAGCCGTGGACGTGGCTGGCAACATAACCCCCTAAAGAGAGAACTATCAAGCCAACGGTGAGTTGAGTGCAGCCGTAGTAAAGAAGAAACTTGAGGTCCTTCCACAGCCATCTTGAGTGGATCACAAGAACGATTCCGAGTATGGAAAACAGGACTGAGATGAGGGCCACAATCACTATGCACTCGAGCATGTTGTCAATAAGGTTTTGGAAAGTGAGGCCCAGGGTAGCATCGCTGGGAGTGGCAAGGTCAGAGTTTGCGCGGTATCGCAGGACGATCGCTGACGCAATCCGAACATTTCGAACTCTCTATTTATGCACTATGGCGAAGGCTGGTTGCTTTCAACGCCACCTTTTTCATCTCGTAGTCTGAGATGGACCATGTACATGGCCTGGCCAAGTGCCAAATTCAGGAAATAGAAGGTTGCCCAGCAACAGATGCGGCCCTGGCTGGTCCTAACGCATTTTGTTGGGCTTGCGAGTGTATCTTTTGCTCTTCAGCGTGACCGAGTTTTATTTCCCAAATCCTAGGAGCCAGCACGGTCTGGATTCTGCGTCTGTCTCAACGCGGGTAAAGTGCCGGACAGTTATCGCCGCACTTGACATCAGTGGTGCTCAAGAGTCGTGCCCGCTATTATTGAATGCTTTTGGACCGCGTAAAAATAGTACAGAGCGCTCATGAACCCAATGTTCAAAACCAGCAGAGCCTCCAATTCCAGAACCATGGCAAATCTGGGCGAATCCATGGCACTCAATCCCCCGCAAAGATACTTGAACTTCCCACCGAGTTGCTGTATGATGTCCTAGATTATTCATCTACGGAGGATTTGGTTTCATTCGCATTTTGTCGATGGGATCTATTTCAAGCTCTGATTGGTGTCCTTGAAAGCAAGGCAAGACCATCATTACAGAATCTTGGCCATCTCCCGATCTACGCCAGATCCGAACAGCCGATACTGAGAGACCTGAGGACACTTGTGGAATTATTTGAGGATAGCCATTGGCCTAAAGAGCACCTCCGAGGTATCATCCTAGAGTCTGCTAGACGTGACCAACCAACCCTGCACAGTTGTGTTGATCTGGGATTTGAAGAAGTGGCTTGTCGGTATTTGCGAATAAGACCTCACGCACTATTCGATTTGAACTTTCTGCACATGACAGCTTTACACATCTCTATCCTTAGACGTGCTCACACCGTGGTCCAGGAAATTGAAATTATAGCTCAAAACATGCCTGAGATTGATCAGGTGGAATATTTTGATCGGCATGACGATCTCCAAAACACTCCACTCTACTATGCTATCACGACCTCGTCTCCGGATATTGCAAGTATGCTTATTAGTGCTGGGTCTATAATCGACTTTAGAGATATCCTAGGGTATACTCCGCTCATGACTGCGTGTTATCTCGGACGAGACGAAGTCGTACACTGCCTGGTTGATCACGGAGCTGACATGCAAGCCACAAACAACTCCAACCTCTCGGTCTTGGAATGCATAGTGATTGGTGAAAGCCGAACGAAGGAAACACTGTTGCAGCGCATATGCCCCTATGCTACCCAAGCGCAACTGAACAGAGCACTTCGTCTTGCAGTCAACAAAAAGTCAGAGCTTGTGGGTATTCTGCTCAGATTTGGCGCAGACGGCCAATACGCTAGTATCCTAGAAGACGATTCGTACGATGCCGAAAGAAACGGGCCTTTAAGTTCAACGACACATGGACCGGTTGAAGCAAGCATGTCATTGTCCCGACGTCATTTAAATCCAAGTATCGCCAGTGACCTTGCGTCTGGGGAACCGGATATTCTCGCTGATTTGAGCCCTATCATGCACAGTGAAGCCAGTACTGACGATGGTGGAATCGTGGACGGCTTTGGGACTTTTCGGCGATCACCGATATATATCTTCCGGTAAGGTCCAGACATCGCGGCTAAGTTCAGCGCAAAGTATGCAGACGGCCATGATATCAACGATACAAGAAATGTTTCAAATTTTGACGTTCGAATCACTCAACTGAGGGATTCCAACAGCCGCGGAAAGCATTGGCGGTATACAGAAGATAACGTTCTCGGGATATGTGGAGTTGCTTTCGGAGAGAGAAAATTCCCAGACAGAGTCTATAAGCAACGAAGAGCCGTCTGGGTTAAAATCAAGTGGGAAAATATCGTGACGGTAGATCAGAAATTACTTCAAGAAAATTGTTCCTGGATACCCAGGGATGACTTTACTCGTTTGTGTGGCAGCAGGATTTTGGCTGAAAGCGAACTCAGGGAAGCCTGGAAGAGGCAGGAGAATCGTTTCATCAACTGGAAACACAGAGATGAATCTCAAGCGTCTCGTGCCAGATGATTACCTGCCCCGTTTCCCTGGGACTTGACGTGAACCGCAGCTACCTAGCCTCAGGTTGGCGACCAAAAGCAATACAGAGATTAAGCTTCACGAGTATTCAAACTGACAGTTTTGTTATTCGTTGGTCGCGACCCGGCATTCAATTGCCTGAGCCCGAGGATCTAAACGCCAATTATTGGTGGGCTAGGTTCGTTGTGAGGAGCATTCAGATTAGGAGTTTTACCAGCGCTATTTTTCTAGTATATATGGTGGTAAAGGCAAATGAACATGTTTATACACACTAAGAGAGCTACAAGTAAATCAGAGTCCTTGTCAACCTGTGCCAACGTGCCTGAGACAGTTGCTCTGTCTCGCATGTCAGAACCGTAATGTAAGATCTGAATGAGGGCTGCTATAGAGCTCGACTCGCCGCTTGGTTCGGTATTAGGCTACCGTTAGTGTGCAACTGTGATGGTCCGCGATGGTCCGTGATTGGGATGGGTGTCGACCAATCGCATGCTAACGCCCCTCTGTCAGAACTCGCAACAAGGCTAGCAGCGCTAAATGTCAGAACTTTGACTTGACGGGTCGTCCATATGCGGTTTGCACAGGATCAATTGATCCGACATTTTCTCCTTTGAAGAGGGCGCGGCTTGTTGTAAATTAACGACAATTAATTTCTAACGTATGCGCTGTTCTCGCAGGCTAGATAAATTCTAGCAGAATATTACTGGACAAAATTGTGACGCACGCTACTGGGTCACTGTCGCTCCGCCTGAGAATCTTCTTCGGATGCTATTGATGAGCCACGTGACAGGCGGAAACAGGAATGAGTCCTCGTCTTTATCCGCCAGATCCTGCTCCAGATCATCTGTCGGTGGGCTTTCCAAAATCACTGTGGCTGTCTGGCTGTTTTCGACATCCTCCGAGAGCTCGTCAACACTCATCGCGGCTGAACCCCACTCGTCATCGCTGATCGGTTCAGGCCTTTCTGCCTCTTCTTCGAACTCCTCCCATTCTTCGTCACTTGCCGTGTCACGTTCCACCTGGCTGATCACCTTTTTCCCTGATTCGGATCCCTCCGAGTACGCATACATCACCAGGTCTCGCATGGTCGGCTCATCCAGAGATCCCCGACGAGTATGATATATATTTTGTGCAACGGTGAAAAGTCGTTCCGCGCCAGCTCCTGTAGCCGGAATGGAGAGTAGATCTCGAGCCAGTCGAGTGAGAACAGGCCATTTGCGTTGATGGTCTTTCCAGTAAGCGCTTGGCGAGATATTGACAGCCCCTATTATGTGTCAGTAGTCAACGTGCAAAATACTAAGCAGTTTTTCAGACCTTCGCGGAGATATTGATCAACTTCATCTTGCCCACTTCTACCACCCGCCAGACCAGCTAGCGGGTGCAGAAGCCGGTCGAGCCCCAACAACTGCGGAGAGCAAGACAGTCCATTCACGCAAGACAAGCTCGTGGGCATTTCCGGTCGGTACTGCAGATGAAAAATCCTCAGATACTCGATGTAGCGCTCGGGACGGCCCAAGCCTTGCGATGTGGCCTCATCGAATGCGGACAACTTATATTGGGGAGCAACGAAAGTTCCAGGGCCATACATGACCCCAAAGTTTTGGAATGTCTTTTTGTATACTTCTCCAAATTCCATCTTCATGATAAGCGACGCCTCCAGTAGTTTGCGCTTCCACGGAGCTGATTTTTCTCTCAATATTTGTGTTGACTCGTCGAGATGCTCCATTAGCATCTTGAAAACGAAACAGACCTTGTGGACTGTCGCCTCTTTCGACGCCAGGAGGGCCGTAGTGAAGTGGATGAACGGCATTGTCAGCTGCACAAGGTAGTCGACCTTGCGCCAATCCGTATTCGTTAATTTGTACGGACAAGTCCCGCTCTCTTGGCAGTATTGGTCGATAAACCTTCGCAGTCTGCCAGCTCGTTTCAACATCAGAAAGACCGAATTCCATCGAGAACTCTCATCATCTAACGGCAAAAGACGAATTCGTGCAGGCTGAAGACACAAGAACTCATCGCGCTTCCGAGGGGTCTCGTTGACAAATTTTGCAAATGATCGAATCTGCAAAATGCAAGGATCAGATTTTTTTCTAGTCAGAAGCACGGATTGCAGTTACCTTTTCCAAAACGCGCGTTATTTCGTTGCCATCTGATAGGTCGGCCCATCCATTGACGTGTGGTATTGCGGGGACATTCCCAATCCGCTTCCCTTCTGCGGAGCTTGTGATGTTTTCGATATACCGCCGAAGACAGAGCTGAATCGCCTGCACTGTTCCAGGAACCCCAGCAAAGCACTGCCAAGAGCTGATACCACCAGAAGAAGTGAGCTTCTCTTTTATTGACAGCACCAATCTCTCGTCGACCCTATAGTCGATTGTCACGCTGAATATCCGACTAAGCAGGCCTTTATTCATGATCAGTCCAAGTATTTGATCACCGGGGTCAGTCCCTGTCTCGGGCCTGCAAAGTAGCTCGAATCCAAGCAGCACCTCTCGGTAGCTCCACTGTTTGTCAAAGTAATACGCAGTAATAGCCATAAAGTCCTGCCCTAGTGGACTTTTCCAACAGCACAAAGCAATCGATACTTTGGAATCTCCGGGCAGATCCTGCAGCTGTGACTCTTGGTAGATGGTAACCATGTTGTGCATATGCTGGCGGAGCTGCTTTGATGAGGGAATCTCCAAAGCTTGGGGCCCGGCGTAGACTAGGTCCAACAATTCTTGGAATGTGGGTTCTTCTGTGAGCCCAAAAGAAAGGTGTGCGGATGTGATTGTCCGCAAAAGCTGATCTTCGAGCTGTGCCTTGGTAAGTCTGCTCCTCATGGGCGAGAAGCTCGCACGAGCCGCCTGGATTGGGCCTTGTGTGACCGCAGACACGGGCACCTTCTCCATGCTTCTGCGGCAAGAGTTAGATTTCAGGTGCTTACCCATTGTGCTTGTTCCATGGGATTTGTGATGTGGGTGGTGTGGGTGATTAAGCGGCGTGAGGCAAGACCGGCAAACTACCTTGGGTCGACCAGACCTGAGCTCTGCCACCTGGTCAAAGTGCTTCCACACCTTTGAGAGACGCGACTCAACCGACCATCTGAAATTGTATTTTCCATTTTTGGTCAGCTGTTGTCCATAGTCGGTCTCCAGCCACCACGATAAAAATTCGTTCTCCTGGGCGGTGTCGTAGAGCACCCAATCTCGGCGGTCGGGTGCAAGCCGCCTGAGTTTTGCCGGGGGGCCTCTGGGCCGGTCTTCCAGTGTGACGATGCTTGAGAGGCCAGCGAATGACTTTAAGGTGTAGATTAGGTTAGAATCATTCGACTGGCTCAGGTGACGCCATACCGAAGACCGCGACATTGGGGCTGACGACGAAGGTGAGGGGGTCCCAATTGAACACATCGCGCTGGAGAGGTGTAATCCTGGCGAGGGAAGCTACTAGGATAAATAGAATCATGAGAAAAGCAAGCGAGACTGGTGCTAGGTTTTTATTGGTAAGTGACCAATGCGTCCCAGGAATCAGTCATCACGTCAAACGTTACATACCGTGACCTTTTGACTAATCCGTCCGTCTCTTTTGCCTAGAGTGTTGAAGTTGATGCAATCTTTGACCAGATCTAGGAACCGTCGATGGTAAATTTGAGATGATATGTTTAAACGTCAAGAGCGTAACTAGCCCGTAAACTGAACCACCAGTCTCAACGCGGGCCAACTTTGCAAAATGTTTCACCGCATCCCCGTTGATAAATCTATCGAATCGTTCATTTTTAACTGGCTTCATGATCGTCAGGTTGTAAATGAACCCTGCGCGATACATAGGCAGGTATTGAGTGGTGAAATCGATGACGTCAACGATTCCCAACGCCTAATTGGGTCGAGAGACGTGCTTACCAGGGATTTAGTTGAATCAACATCTAGTAAATTTAAGCCATAAGCACTGGCTGAATCTCTCTCACGTCGTTTATGTTTTCATTGGCACTTTCAACATGTCTCAGTCGTTTAAGCATTAGTTAGACATGGCCAAGGCATAATCGAATAGACCCTCGAGCTATATAAGTGGGCATCGTGCTAGGGTTGAAGAGGAAAATACATTTCTTTTGTCCCTTGTGGGTTAATCTGGCACCATACCTACCTAAGATGGCCTCGGAAGAGGAAAATGAGATTTTCGAAGTCATATTCTCGTACAGTGAGCCCAATGACTCTAAAACGCAAGGTACAACCTCTGAGCCCTCGGAAGATGCTATCTCGGAAACAAGTGAAGACCGCGCATTTGTGGTTTCGGATGCAGATCAATCGCCCTATTCGAACAGATCCTCTGGGTCTTCCGACTACAGCCAGCACTGCCCCCACGTGCATGACAATGACTCTTTTGATATTGTAAGTTGCATGGGGAGATCGTTTCTAATGAATAAGCTGACATCCCCAGATTGGCCAGAAAATACCGATAAGCACAATTGCTAAACGCGTTATCGGCCAGGATGATAGTTCTGTTGTACAGTATTTGGTCCTATGGCGGTCCTGGGAGCAGGGAAAACCGCATGTGAGTGGTATGCCCGAGGAGCATTGATTTGTACTTAGAACTGAGGCTGTGTATGGCTCCAATTTGCCAGCTAGTAAGCTGTCCCTATAGCGACGCGTGCTAAGCAATGTCATCGCACTTTACCGAAAGGCTTTTTGATCCTATTTTTTCTCCCAATAATATATGGCCCTGTGGATATTCGCGGGAGATATGGGTATCCCAATCGATAGGTTTTCGGTATCATGTCTCCAAAGTCCAATCTGAGTAGCCTTTCTCTTGTTTATTTCATGCATCTGATTTTACCCCGTAGCGAAGGGTAGGCTAGTTCCCAGCATCTACTCTGTCTGCTCAAAACAACCACTTTGATCCGCAAGAATGCTATAAATCCTAGGAGATCCAGCCACAATTTGAGTATGGAAGCATCTCACCAAAGCAGTCCAGCTTTGTACCTTACCGTTCCAGCCATAGCCAGAGATTCACTCTGCTAATGATCAGAATAAAGATTCAAATAAGTTGACTGGGTTTTCAACGGGCAATCTCATGGCAAATTGATCTTCTTCACCTAAGCTTCTCCAAGGCCGAATAGTCCCTCTGTGTGTAAATCAGGTGATCAATCTAGATCTTCAGCCCCGTTCACCTTGACCTTTTGTCTCTGGCCATGTGAAAGAACTATGTCTAACAGCTCATACTCAACGTTGAGTGAGAAATGTTGACCGATAATGAGAACGTGATGCTAGGCAGTTTATCAACATTTACGGTTGGTTACTGTCACCGGGATATCCCCTGTGACAATGTAAGCCCTGTTAGGTTCCATTGGACCCATTCAAGTTGATAGAAAAATCCTTGATCTCGCCTGGTCCTCAGTAGATTGCGTTGTCTTTTATCCTCAATCTCTTTAAGGCCTCCCGATACAGCTTCATACACTGATATCATCGCCAGACTCGACCAGTTTAGCGCTGATTCTGCACCTTCACGTTGAAGAACACCAGTATCTGTGGATTGTTACCAGAACCTCTTCCTGAGGAGAAGGTCTGTTTGATATAGCACTTGATGTTACAAGTACTTGAACGTCCGTTTTTCTCGCATTGGCGGCGTTGGAATGGGTACGTATTTTGACTTCCAATGACCATTTGTAAAGATGCTAAATGTAGCAGAAGTCACGTTCCTCAAGTTGATCGCTCCTCGAAAATCCCGGTCACCAAAGCCCCTTTCATATATTCAAAGACCGAGGAGCTCGTTTGGAAGTGGGAACAGTCAAAGCTCTGTGGCCAGAGTATCAACATCACACTCTCTTCCACCACGATTCCACAAGGTCACCCACCAAACAAAGCTGATAGGCGAGGCAAATTCGTGTCTATCGAGAATGGCGTGGTTCATGTCTTCCCTCAAGCACAGCTCACCAACCTGGAACCGCATGACTATCGGATCGGAATTCTAGAGGCAGCACATTCAGCAAACCTGAAGATTATCCTTCGCGATGCGAAAAATGAGAACCAAACGAAAAGTCTCAGGGGAAGCCTCATTCGCCTCCAGCGTTCCCTGTTGGAGAGAGTCCCTCCTATTTTTGAAAGCTGGTCAACTGAATTCTGGGTATCGGACTCGGTTGTAATTGATTCAAAGTCGATCGAGGAGGCTGGGTTGATACTCAAGGCTTTACGTCCAGAGAGCCTCGATGAGACAGCATATGTCTGTGTTGGCCTTCCAGTCACAATCTTCGGGCCATTATTCAACACGCTGATATCGAAATGGAACGCGAGTGCCGCTTCTTTCGAGTACTCCAACGGATTTATCTGGATATATTCTACAGTGGACCCGACAAACTTCAAAATACACGCGGATGAATCTGATAGCTCCACCGTTCATTCAGTCTCCTCCATGCTGAAACGAATGAGCGGAAAATCTTGGCTTGTTAGGGCAAAGCTCATGTTCACACTCGAAAGGTCGGGTAGGGAGAGAGCAGCTATTCTAGCTGAACTCCTAGAAGTTTCTCACATACAGGTCACCTCTTCTCATAAGCCCATCACTCACTCCTAGGGTCGGCATGGGTGTTGGAAGGGTTTGGCAGCTCGCAGCAACGCTGTTGACATCTATGGTTTGGTTTGATTGTTTCTTTTTCTTGTTTAGTTTCTCTTGTTTCGTTTTTCTTCTTGAATTTATTGAATTTGCTAGTATGGAAAATCAAAGGAGAACTTACATTATTTGATAAAGACTTATTCTTGCTGGTCGCCCCCGTCGGACCAGAAGAAGGCATGGAATGAATGGTCTTCAGCCAACTCCCCTCTCCATCTGCATCTGGTCGCGCCTTGTGGCACTCCAAAGTAGAGAAAGGAGTTGGAGAGAGTCAAATATTGTACATGAACATAACACCTCTTGAGGCTTGCAGACCAGAGATCCTGATACAAAGATCTAGCCTTGGCGACAAGAAGCAAGATTTAATTATAGAAAATCGCTGTACCACTACCACAGTACATAGCTAGAAAGGGTCATAGAACACAAAAGGTACGATGATGAGGCTAGCGCTGTTTATTCGAGACTAAGTTGAATTCCTATTGGGAATGCAGCCCAAAGGCCGGTTTGCTGCAACGCGACCGCCTTGCGTAGAAACGACCTTTTTGCATCTTCATGGCATAAGGCATGATTGCATCGATAGTCAAGATAACTTGGTCTATCAAAAATTCCGGCTAGAATTAAAGGTGAAGGATCACACGACAGGTTCCACGTCGCCTTCTACGACAGTGTCGGGGTCGTGTTGCGCCTCGTCTGCTTTTTGCACTCAGGTGGTATATTTGAGCTTCTCGGCCGCAAAGAGACCAAGGGAAAAGAAAATACAGAATCAATAGCCTGCTCGATCTTGTATGCGTACTGTTTTGCGTTTTCCTCGCCGTTGCTGGCTGCAGGCGCCTCCCTGATATTCCTAACAAAGACAGTCGCCGCCTAATCAGACGAGCGACCCTGCGTCTCAGCATGTTGACCGACTTCAACTGTTGGAACAAGAACCACAAGAGAAATAATAACCGCATTATGTCGTAGACACATGGGAGCCGCAGAATTGTTGTTCAACGTTGAGCATGACTTTTGTGAGACGCACCCTTTGCAATCGACATATGGTGAATCACTACTATTACGCTGTCCACGACGATGCATATCTTTTTCAATCAGCAACCTGTCGCTTCATCCTAGATAGCCATAACATGAGCCTTGTGACTGTTTCTCACCAGTGTCGATTATTGCCGCATCGCCCTCCCAAGCTGCTTTCGACGGTCCAAATAAAGCTCTATATCAGCGTTGCTCATACAACCATTTATCGAACAATATATAAACCTGCTGATATCCAGTATTGCTTCTGGTAAAAAGTATGCCCCGCCTCATCTCAAAGTTTGCCGGATGGCTTGCGAGAGCTTCCGTGCAAGATATATTCAGTCTCTGTGGGCTCCTCGCTCTCGTGTGCTGGCTATCTTATAGCCTCGGACGCCGATACAGCCACTGGCCTTTGAGATTGCAGCACGCAATATCCTGGAGACGCTTCTTCCAAGCGCCAACACCAGGCCCGCTCCAGTGGCTGGATATACCATCATACTTGCAAGGGGGGATAGTTGCGGCCCTGGTGATTGCCAACATCATTGCAGTCAGCGTTCATGTTCGATCATGGGCGGAAGTGCAGAAGCGAGCTGGATGCTTGGCGGTCACACACCTTGTTCCCCTTTACTCCGGATTTAGCTTCAGTCTCCCGGCCCTTGTTTACCGCGTTGAACGGGGCACGGTGCAATGGGCTCATCGGTGGCTAGGCCGCATTTGCGCGTTGCATTGCCTGCTTCATGGGTCCGTCTTAGGCACAGTCGCTCGAAATACAAGACTCGCAGCTCCCCTCGTCATTCCGCTCGTGGTGCGTGAAACGGGCCAGAGAATGGCAGCATCTCCAATTTTTCTGCGACATGCTAGCTAGAAAAGTGGCTAATGTTGAACAGGCTGGCTGTAGTCTCCTGTCGATCCTGCCTTGGACACTCGCTGCGATTCTTCGACGTTGGCCGCAACTGGGCCTGAAGGTCCACCATGTGCTTGCTTCCATCGCCACCGGCACCCTTGCCTACCATTTGATCGACCGCGCATCGGCCTACCGCTGGGTTCTACTGGGCGGAATTTGCACCGGATTGGGCTGGAGTGTTGGGACATGTCTGTATACCATGTGGTTCCACAGGTCGTGGCGCATCACCTCGCGACGGGCGCTCGCGCGGTCTTTCAACCGGCTCTTATGGCTTGATATTGCGGTTCCCATGGAGTGGGTGGCTCAACCGGGGCAGTATGTACAGCTCTGGATGCCACGCTTAGGGGTGAGGTCCTCCTTGCAGCTTCCAGCATTCTACGTGGCGTCCGTGGGCACAATGGACAATCCGCCAGGAGCACAGACCACTCGCATGTTACGCATAGTGACCCGACCCCGACCGGGCGTGACTGGAAGGATCGCACAAGCCGCGGATCATGCGACATACTCGACGATTCATTTTCCGGTCTGCGTGCTGGGTCCGTATGGGCATCCACCTAGCCTTGGCCAGTACGGGACCGTTGTCTTTGTACTTGAAGATATTGGACTCTTCCGCGCGCTACCGTTCATACGACATCTCGTTCAAGAAAGTCGAAGCCGGAAGAATGCGGTGCGACGGCTAGAAGTCCTGTGGCAAGTGAGGCTGAAGAATTTCAGTGAGTCCCCCCTTCCTCCCTTTCTTCTCGGATGCTTTGCGGCGTCGCGTGCTTACCGGAATAGACCATTCCCGCTGGGTGGGGGATGAAATCTCGCAAATCCTCGAACTCGACCGTATGTTTGACCGAAACGATTGTCCCGAGCATAGACACCGTAATGACCGGGGATTCGATGTGAGTGAATTTTCCATCTCACTATTGCAAGTCGGCCTTAACTCGGTGGCAGATCCTGCAGTTCACCACACATATCCTAGATACCCAGCCCGTGGACCGAATTCGTTACCGTAACCGTACGCGCTTGAAATATCATTTCCACGCTATCAATATCGACAAGGAGCTGGCACGACTTGGGGATGGTAGAGGCGGGACGACCGCGGTTTCGGGTATGAGTGCTCCCTCGTTCACCCACTTGGGCTTTGCCAAGCTAACTGGCATTAGTGTGCGCAAGCAAGTCGACACGCGCAGCAGTACGTCGCATCGTTCATTCCAGAACGAGTGGTGATTGCAGATTGATTGACCTGGATCAAGAACCCTCTTGTGAGTGGTGGGCAGACGTTGACCCTTTCGTCCATGACGCGTCCGAAACGGTTGCAGCACCAAGAGAACCCTCCAATACTGGAAGGGTGTTTGAGCCCGGTGCACCTGCTGTTCCCGAGCAAGCCACTCGGCTGTCCGGAGAAACCTTGGTGGATAAGACGCGATCTTGGCAGAGTGATGATTCGGCGGTTAGAGGACAGAGCGCCAATCACAAAAAATGGGTCCGGCAGAAAATCACCGAAGGCGGCGTCTAGGCTGGCGTGGACAAGATTTGGGTGATAGATGAGGCGCAGGACGATTTAGTTGCTCCAATAGCCAGGCATGTCCAAGTTTTTTGGTATATTTTATGCATTGGATGCGGCCGATGTTACTTTTTAAGCTACGGATCTTCCGAAGCAGGCTGGATTTCTCGAAATTCCTTTACTAAATGTTACATTGGCCTCGAATAAGTATAGAATTGTAAGCACAGACTTGAATGAAATTTGGTCATGTATGTATTGTTTGTTGATGTGAGATGTGGAATTGTGCGGGGATATGGTGAAATAGCCGGGCGGCGAATGGGAACTTCTCAATGTGCGGAGGTTTTCTTTCCGAGTCACCCATGCTGAATGATATGATCAGCATGTAGCTTTCTGTTACTGTACGTAGCCACTCTACTTCATTCAGCGACTTTCCTAAAGCAAGAAGACCAAGTCCTTGTTGGATAAAGAGCGTCAGTCTTCCGGCCTGAAGTTTTACAAGTGAAAGCGAGATTGGCCATAGAAGGAATGTTCCTCGCCAAGCCTCCTCTTACGAGTCTCCAACACCTGCACCTCGAGCTTCTCGGCTTCCTCCGCCGACCCTGATTCCAAAGGTCGATGCTAGGTTCGCTATAACGCGATTGCCATGTAAAGGCGGTAAGAAAGTGATACGAGACGCGATGAAACACGCGTGAGTAGAACACCACCAATGGGACCAGGGCCCCCGCATACAGGCCATCAGATTATGTAAGTTTCCCGAATAGGGGGTTCAACTTTTGGGAAATCCATTCGGGTCATATATGCCTGTCACTGCCGCCCACTACTAATATTATAGGTAATTAATCACAATAGTGGTGTATCCTATTATTTAATGTATGAGGTTTGTATTAAGTGCAGTAAATATATTAACACGACCGGTAGAAAGCATCTTGCGAATGAATTTGTAGGTTCCAGATGTTTTGTAGTCAAATATATATTGATGGTCGCATCACAACTTTTCCGTCAATGGACCTCATTTCCATGAAATTTTCAAAATTTCACAATGTTTTAGCTGCGTAATTGTTCTATAATTTTACGTATAAATATTATTTAAGTAGAAACATATACAATAAATAGACCCATTTAATATCAAAATTATTAGAAATCGTAAAGTGTCGAGCTCGAATGGAATGGAAATTGTGATCCAAGATACTTAGAAGGGAGACGTCCGATATCAGGACACGTGACTGCTGTGTAAAGATGGTTAGGATGTGGTGCGGCACGCGACGCAGCACGCGCAGGCGTCTGAGGTGCCCTGGTGCTCCACAAATTGACGAGTCCCCTGCTGCTTGACAAAGGGCCCTCCGAAATGCTTCACCATGCCTAGGCTGCGGCATATCGTACGATAACGATAATGACCCGTTATCGTTATCCGCAAATTGCGGATTGCGGATAATGGA